TTTTTTAAAGGTAGAACTACAAAGTTATACTTTCTTGGCCCTTACCTGTGTCAAACGGTACAGATTGACTAATGGGGCAGTACAACTAGTAAGGTTTGTACAGTACTGTCACAATTAACTAAACATATAAATTTTTATTGTTCTGGTACCTCTGTTACCCGTTGTTACCCCTCTTATCCCTTGTTCCCCTTGTTACCCCTTGTTAGCCCTTGCTTCTCCTGCCTACCCCTGTTCCCCCTTGTTACCCTTGTTACCCGTTCTTTCCCCTTAATGCCCCTTTTCCTCCTTGTAATCCCTGTCACCCCTTGTTACCCTTTGTTCCCCATTGTTACCTTGGTCCTCCTTTTTACCACTGTTACCCCTTGTTAACCCTTGTTACCCCTGTTGCCCCTTGTTACCCCTTCTTACCCTTGTTACCCCTTGTTGCCCTTGTTACCCCTTGTTACCATGGTTACCATCTGTTACCACTTGTTACACTTGTTATCCCTTGTTCCCCTTGTTACCCCTTGTTAGCCCTTGATTTTCCTGGCTACCCCTGTTCCCCCTTGTTCCCCCTTGTTCCCCTTTGTTGCCCTGTTCCTCCTTGTTATCCCTGTTACCCTTTGTTACCCATTGTTACCCTGTTCCTCCTTATTACCACTGTTACCCCTTGTTACCCCTTGTTACCCCTGTTACTCCTTCTTCCCCCATTATACCCTGTTACCCCTTGTTCCCCTTCTTACCGCTGTTCCTCCTTGTTATCCCTTGTTAACCCTTGTTACCCCTTGTTACACCTTGTTACCCTTGTTACCCTTTGTTACCCTTGTTACCCTTGTTACCCTTTGTTACCCTTGTTACCCCTTGTTACCTCTTGTTACCCCTTGTTACCCTTGAAACCCTTGTTACCCTTGTTACCCTTGTTCCCCTTGCTATCCCCTGTTAACCCTTATTAACCCTTGTTCCCCTTGTTATCCCTTATAACCCTTGTTACCCCTTGTTACCCTTGCTACCCCTTGTTATCCTTGTTAACTCTTGTTACCCTTTGTTACCCTTGTTACCCCTTGTTACCCCTTGTGACTCTTGTTCCCCTTTGTTGCCCCTTGTTACCCTTGTTACCCCTTGTTACCGTTGTTACCGTTGTTAACCCTTGTTACCCCTTGTTACCCTTGTTACCCCTTGTTACCATTGTTACCCCTTGTTACGCTTGTTACCCCTTGTTACACCTTGTTACCCTTGTTACCCTTGTTACCCTTGTTACCCTTGTTACCCCTTGTTACCCCTTGTTACCCTTTGTTACCCTTGTTACCCTTTTACCCCTTACCCCTTGTTACCCCTTGTTATTCTTTTGTTACCCTTGTTACCCTTACCCCCTGTTACCCTTGTTACCCTTTGTTACCCCTTTTTACCCTTGTTACCCTTTTTACCCTTTTGTTGCCCTTGTTGCCCTTGTTTACCCTTGTTACCCTTGTTACCCCTTGTTACCCTTGTTACCCTTGTTACCCTTTGTTACCCCTTTGTTACCCTTTGTTACCCTTGTTACCCCTTGTTACCCTTCTTTTTCCTTGTTACCCCCTTGTTACCCCTTGTTACCCCTTGTTACCCTTGTTACCCCTTGTTACCCTTAAAATCCTTGTTACCCCCTGTTACCCTTCTTACCCCTTATTACCCGTGTTACCGCTTGCTACCCCTTATTACCCCTGTTACTGTTTCCCCTGGTTACCCGTGAATACCCATTGTTACCCCTTCTTACCCATCGTAACCCTTGTTACCCTTGCTATCCCTTGTTACCTCTTGTTTCTCTTGTTACCCTTTGTTACCCTTGTTACCCCTTGTTACCTTTTGTTACCCTTGTTACCCCTTGTTATTTTTCTTACCCTTGTTACCCGTTGTTACCCTTGTTAGCCCTTGTTCCCCTTCTTACCCCTTCTTACCTTTTGTTACCCTTGTTAGCCCTTCTTACCCCTTGTTATTTTTGTTATTCTTGCTACCCTTGCTACCCCTTGTTACCCTTGTTACCTTTGTTACCCCTTGTTACCCTTGTTACCCTTGGTTACCCTTGTTACCCTTTGTTACCCTTGTTATCCCTTCTTACCCTTTTTACCCCTTGTTACGCTTGTTACCTTTGTTACCCTTTGTTACCGTTGCTACCCTTGTTACCCCTTGTTACCCCTTGTTACCCTTGTAACCCCTTGTTATCTTTGTTACCCTTGTTACCCCTTCTTACATTTTTTACCCCTTTTTACCCCTGTTACCCCTTGTTAGCGTTGTTACCCCCTGATACCCTTCTTACCCCTTGTTAGCCTCCTTACCCTTGTTACCTCTTCTTATCCCTTGTTACCCTTGTTACCCCTTGTTATTCCTTGTTACCCTTGTTACCCCTTGTTACCCTTCTTCCCCCTTGTTACCCCTTGTTATTTTTGTTACCCTTGTTACCCCTTGTTACCCCTTGTTACCCTTGTAACCCCTTGTTACCTTTGTTACCCTTTGTTACCGTTGCTACCCTTGTTACCCCTTGTTACCCCTTGTTACCCTTGTAACCCCTTGTTATTACCCCTTGTTACCCTTGTTACCCTATTTCCCTTGTTACCCCTTTTTACCCCTTTTTACCCCTTTTACCCTTTTGTTACCCCTTGTTATTTGTTTGTTACCCTTTTACCCTTTTACCCCTTGTTACCTTTGTTACCCTTGTTACCCCTTGTTACCCTTATCCCTTGTTACCCTTTGTTACCCTTGTTACCCTTGTTACCCTTTACCCCTTACCCCTTGTTACCCTTTTACCCCTTGTTACCCTTTGTTACCCTTGTTACCTTGTTTACCCTTTTACCCCTTGTTACCCTTTGTTACCCCTTGTTACCCTTTGTTACCCTTTGTTACCCTTGTTACCCTTGTTACCCTTTTGTTACCCCTTGTTACCCTTTGTTACCCTTTGTTACCCTTGTTACCCTTGTTACCTTTTTTACCCTTTTTACCCTTTTTACCCTTGTTTTGCCCTTGTTGCCCTTTTACCCTTCTTACCCCTTGTTAGCCTCCTTACCCTTGTTACCTCTTCTTATCCCTTGTTACCCTTGTTACCCCTTGTTATTCCTTGTTACCCTTGTTACCCCTTGTTACCCTTCTTCCCCCTTGTTACCCCTTGTTATTTTTGTTACCCTTGTTACCCCTTGTTACCCCTTGTTACCCCTTGTTACCCTTGTTACCCCTTGTTACACTTTGTTACCCTTGTTACCCTTGTTACCCTTGTTACCCCTTGTTACCTCTTGTTACCCCTTGTTATCTTTGTTACCCTTACCCCCTCATTACCCCTTTTTACCCCTTGTTACCCTTGTTACCCTTTTTACCCCCTGTTTGCCTTGTTACCTTTGTTACCCTTTTTTACCCTTGTTACCCTTTTTGTTATTATCTTTGTTACCCTTGTTACCCCTTGTTACCCTTGTTGCCCCTTGTTACCCTTGTTACCCCTTGTTACCCTTGTTACCCCTTGTTACCCCTTCTTGCAATTCTTATCCCTTGTTATCCCTGTTACCCCTTGTTACCCTTGTTACTCTTTTTACCCCTTTTTAGCCTTGTTACCCTTGTTACCCCTGTTACCCCTTGTTACCCTTGTTACCCCTTTTTAACCTTGTTACCCTTGTTACCCTTGTTACCCCTTGTTACCCCTGGAACCCTTTTTTACCCCTTGTTACCTTTGTTACCCTTGTTACCCTTTGTTACCCTTTTTACCCTTTGTTACCCTTGTCACCCCTTCTTACCCTTGTTACCCCGGGTTACCCTTGTTACCCCTTGTTACCCCTTGTTACCCTTTGTTCCCCTTACTCTTGTTAACTCTTGTTACCCGTCGTTACTTGTTGTTACCCCTTGTTACCCTTGATACCCCTTTTTACCCTTGTTACCCCTTGTTACCCGTTGTTACCTTTGTTACCCTTGTTACCCTTTGTTACCCCTTGTTACCCTTGTTCACCCTTTTACCCCTTGGTACCCTTGTTACCATGTGTTACGCATTGTTACCCTTGTTACCACTTGTTACCGTTTTTACCCATTTTTGCCCCTTTTTACTTTTGTTACCCCCTTTGACCCCTTTTTACCCTTGTTGGCCCTTGTTACCCCGTTTTACCTTTGTTACCCGTTTTTGCCGTTGTTACCATCTGTTACCCATTGTTACCCCTTGTTACCCCTTGTTAGCCTTGTTACTCCTTGTTACCCCTTGTTACCATTTGTTACCCATTGTTACCCTTCTTACCCTTGTTACCCTTGTTTTCCCCTTTTACACTTGTTACCCCTTGTTACCCTTGTTACCCCTTGTTATCCCTTTTTATCCCTTGTTACCCTTGTTACACCTTCTTACCCTTGTTACCCTTGTTATTTTTGTTACCCCTTTTGTTTTACCTTGTTACCCCCTTGTTACCCTTTGTTACCCTTGTTACCCTTGTTACCCCTTGTTACCCTTGTTACCCCTTGTTACCCTTGTTACCCCTTGTTACCCCTTGTTACCCTTGTTACCCCTTGTTACCCTTTGTTACCCTTGTTACCCTTGTTACCCCTTGTTACCCCTTGTTACCCTTGGTACCCTTGCTACCCCTTGTTACCCTTGTTACCCTTGTTACCCTTGTTACCTCTTGTTACCCTTGTTACCCCTTGTTACCCTTGTTACCCCTTGTTACCCTTGTTACCCCTTGTTACCCCTGTTACCCCTTGTTACCCCTTGTTGCCATTGTTACCCTTGTTACCCCTTCTTACATTTCGTACCCCTTGTTACCCTTGTTACCCCTTGTTACCCTTGTTACCCTTGTTACCCTTTTACCCTTGTTACCCTTGTTACCCCTTGTTACCTTTTGTTACCCTTGTTACCCCTTGTTACCCCTTGTTATTTTTGCTACCCTTGCTACCCCTTGTTACCCCTTTTTACCCTTGTTACCCCTTGTTACCCTTGTTACCCTTGTTACCCTTGTTACCCCTGTTACCCCTTGTTACCCTTGTTACTCCTTGTTACCCCTTGTTACCCCTTGTTACCCTTGTTACTCCTGTTACCCCTTGTTACCCTTGTTACCCCTGTTACCCTTGTTACCCTTGTTACCCTTGTTACCCTTGTTACCCTTTTTACCCCTGTTACCCCTTGTTACCCTTGTTACCCCTTGTTACCCTTGTTACCCTTGTTACCCCTGTTACCCCTTGTTACCCTTGTTACCCTTGTTATCCCTTGTTACCCTTGTTACCCCTTGTTACCCTTGTTACCCCTTGTTACCCTTGTTACCCTTGTTTTTTACCCTTTGTTACCCTTGTTACCCCCTGTTACCCTTTGTTACCCTTGTTACCCCTTGTTACCCGTTGTTACCCGTTGTTACCCCTTGTTACCCTTGTTACCCCTTCTTACTCCTTGCTACCGTTGTTACCCCTTCTTACCCTTCTTACCCCTTGTTACCCTTTGTTACCCTTGTTACCCCTTGTTACCCTTTGTTACCCCTTGTTACCCTAGTTACTCCTTGTAACCCTTGTTACCCCTTGTTACCCTTGTTACTCCTTGTTACCCTTGTTACCCTTGTTACCCCTTGTTACCTTTTGTTACCTTTGTTACCCTTTTACCCCCGTTGTTACCCTTGTTACCCTTGTTACCCTTTTACCCCTTTGTTACCCCTTTTTACCCTTGTTACCCCCTTTACCCCTTGTTACCCTTGTTACCCCTTGTTACCCTTGTTACCCCCTTGTTACCCTTTTTTTTTCCCTTGTTACCCCTTGTTACCCTTGTTACCCTTGTTACCCCTTGTTGCCCTTGTTACCCTTGTTACCTTGTTACCCTTGTTTACCCTTATTGTTATTTCCCTTTGTTACCCCTTGTTACCCCTTGTTATCCCTTGTTACCCTTGTTACCCCTTGTTACACCTTGTTACCCTTGTTACCCTTGTTACCCCTTGTTACCCTTGTTACCCTTTTTACCCTTGGTACCCTTGCTACCCCTTGTTACCCTTGTTACCGTTGTTGCCTCTTGTTACCCTTGTAACCCCTTGTTACCTTTGTTACCCTTGTTACCCCTTGTTACCCTTTGTTACCCCTCATACCCCTTTTTACGCCTTGTTGCCATTGTTACCCTTGTTACCCCTTCTTACATTTTGTACCCCTTTTTGCCTTGTTACCCCTTGTTACCCTTTGGTACCCTTGTTACCCTTTTTACCCTTTGTTACCCTTGTTACCCCTTCTTACCCCTTGTTACACTCGTTACCCTTTGTTACCCTTGTTACCTCTTGTTACCCCTTGTTACCCTTGGTTACCCTTGTTACTTTTGTTACCCCTTGTTACCCTTTTTTACCCTTGTTACCCTGTGTTACCCTTGTTACCACTTGTTACCCATTGTTACCCCTTTTTACCCCTTGTTACCCTTTGTTACCCTTGTTAGCCTTGTTACCCTTTGTTACCCTTGTTACCCCTTGTTACCCCTTGTTACCCTTGTTACCCTTTGTTACCCTTTGTTACCCTTTTTACCCTTTGTTTTTTGTCCTTTATTACCTTTGTTACCCTTGTTACCTTTGTTACCCTTTGTTACCTTGTTACCCTTGTTACCCCTTGTTACCCTGTTACCCTTGTTACCCCTTGTTACCCTTGTTACCCTTGTTACCCCTTTTACCCTTGTTACCCCTTTTTACCCTACCCTTTTTTGTTGTTACCTTTTTACCCCTTGTTACCCTTGTTACCCCTTGTTACCCTTGTTACCTTTTTTTTACCCTTGTTACCCTTGTTACCCCTTGTTACCCTTGTTTACCCCTTGTTACCCCTTTTACCCCTTGTTACCCTTGTTACCCTTGTTTTGTTGCCCTTTTGTTACCCTTGTTACCTTGTTACCCCTTGTTACCCTTGTTACCCCCTTGTTACCCTTTTGTTACCCTTGTTTACCCTTGTTACCCTTGTTACCCTTGTTACCCTTGTTACCCCTTGTTACCCTTGTTGCCTTTGTTACCCATTCCCTTACCCTTGTTACCCTTGTTACCCCTTGTTACCCTTGTTAGCCTTGTTACCCTGTTGCCCTTGTTACCCCTTGTTACCCTTGTTACCCCTTTACCCTTGTTACCCTTGTTACCCTTGTTACCTTGTTGTTGTTACCCTTGTTACCCCTGTTACCCTTTTACCTTTGTTACCCCTTGTTACCCTTATTTACCCTTGTTACCCTTTATTTGCCTTGTTGCCCTTGTTGCCCTTTTTACCCCTTGTTACCCTTGTTACCCTTTTACCCCTTGTTACCTTTTTGACCCTTTTGTTGCCCCGTTATTGCCCCCTGTTACCCCTTGTTACCCCTTGTTACCCTTGTTACCCATTGTTACCTTTTGTTACCCTTGTTACCCTTGTTGCCTTTTTACCCCTTGTTACACCTTTTTATTTTTGTTACCCTTCTTACCCCTTTTTACTCTTGTTACCCCTATTTACCGTTGCTACCCCTTGTTACCTTTGTTACCCTTGTTACCCTTGTTACCCCTGGTTACCCCTTGTTACTTCTTTTTACATTTCTTACCCCTGGTTACCCCTTTTACCCCTTTTTACCTTTGTTACCTCTTGTTACCCTTGTTACCCCTTGTTACCTTTTGTTACCCTTGTTACCCCTTGTTACCCCTTGTTACCCTTGTTACCCCTTGTTACCTGTTACCCCTTGTTACCTCTTGTTACCCTTGTTAACCTTGTTACCCCTTGTTACCCTTTTGTTGCCCTTGTTTGCCTTTGTTACCCTTGTTGCCTTCTTGTTGCCCTTTTTTCCTTTGTTACCTTTGTTGCCCTTGTTACCCTTTGTTGCCCTTGTTACCCTTGTTACCCCTTGTTACCCTTGTTACCCTTACCCCTTGTTGCCCTGTTACCCTTGTTACCCTTGTTACCCCTTGTTACCCTTGTTACCCTTTGTTTCCCCTTGTTACCTTTTTACCCTTTGTTACCCTTGTTGTTGTTACCCTTTTGTTACCCTTGTTACCCCTTGTTGTTACCTTGTTACCCTTTGTTACCCTTGTTACCCTTTTTTACCCTTGTTGCCCTTGTTGCCCTTTGTTTGCCTTGTTACCCTTGTTACCCCTTGTTACCCTTGTTACCCTTGTTACCCTTAATACCCTTTTTACCCTTTGTTACCCCTTGTTACCGTTGTTACCTTTGTTACCCCTTTCACCCGTTGTTACCCTTGTTACCCTTTGTTTCCCTTCTTACCCTTGTTACCCTGTTACCCCTTGTTGCCTTTGTTACCCTTTGTTGCCCTTGTTACCTTGTTACCTTTTTTTTTGCCTTTTTACCCCTGTTACCCCTTGTTACCCTGTTATTTACCCTTGTTTACCCTTTTTGCCTCTTGTTACCCCTTCTTACCCATTTTTGAACCCCTTGTTGCCCTTGTTGCCCTTTGTTACCCCTTGTTGCCTTTGTTACCCTTGTTGTTGTTACCCCTTGTTACCCTTGTTACCCTTCTTACGTTTGTTACCCTTTTTTACCCCTTGTTGCCCCCTTGTTACCCTTGTTTACCCCTTGTTACCCCTTGTTACCCCTTGTTCCCTTGTTACCCTTGTTTACCCCCTTTTACCCTTGTTACCCTTGTTACCCTTGTTACCCTTGTTACCCCTTGTTACCCTTGTTTA